AAGTAATTTTGACCTATTTGAGAGTCTGTTCTACATCGATTCATCATAAATTTGTCTAAATTCAGACCACAATATATTCATTTCATTTTCAGAATATGTTACTGTTCATGTTTATTAATAAATGATATTAGATACAAGTTAAATTTGCCCATATGTGACTTGTCATAGTGTTTAACAGCCACTTAGTTTCGAGATTCGATAATCGTTTGACCTAGGCATGACCTCTCAATTGTTAAGCAGCTGATATTTTATTTACAGCAATTGGCCACAAATTGCCACCCACATGTAATGGGCTCCCATGACCCGCCACAAACGGCTGATAAGAAGCCAAATTTATCAGCTTGCATGTGGTTGTCGAAAAACGAAGGCACGCGACTAATGAGCCCGGCTAGAAAAAACAAATTGAATTTAATTGTGCCTACTAGAGCATATGCTGTGTGTGTCTGCACGCACATGCTCTATATATGGGCCATTTAATCAAGATTTGTAAGACTGGCATGAAAAGTGTTGGGACTTGCATCTATTTCGAGCACAATTAATAAAAACAAATATCATTCAAGTGCGGACTAGACGGGAGTGCCTGACTAGGCGGTACCCTGCAGCTATACATACATTCATTTGAATTTGACGCCAAATTTCTAGACTGGCTTTACATCTGGCTTTTCTCACTGGCCTCTCTCTGGCTTTTCGCTCTTCATACAGTGACAACTCTCCTTGCGAACAAATCTATTAGGCAGGCAGTCTTCATATATTATGGACATTATCTCTCATTACGCATTCCCACTCCTCTTGAACAGGCAAAATTTAACCTGACGGTCCGACTGCCAGTATAGTCCTGTACTTTATTCCTCCTTTTGACAGTTACTTACCTTAACACAGAGCCCTTATACCCTCTTTACATACTGTGATAAAAAAAAAAAAAACAATCTTACCCATCTAAATTGTAATACCACTTTAAGTGGAATTTTCAACTTGAACAAAGAGAATCTAAATAAAGTATTTTTAATATTTGCATATTTTATGACAACGCCAAGCGATGTTACTTGGCACAACATGACTTGAATAAATATATATATAAATAGAAATTCTTATATTTACAGAGAATAGTGCCCCAACTGAAAGCTGAGTGGGCTGACCAGAAGAGAAAGTGCAAACACTATACCTCTTCGACATCAGCTTTCTAAGTAGAAAGTTGTGCGAATCCTTCAAGTAGAAAGTTGTGCGAATCCTTCAAGTTGTCAATTTACATCTGAGCACAGTTTGATTGAGAGTGAGAATCATCTGAGCAATGCACGTGCAATAACGCAGACCAACTGCCCGTTTTCACATGCCAGTTTACATTATCCGGCAACATTTATCTAACACTGCCAATTGGATTCGTAATGTGAGCAAGGCCAGATAATAGGACGGGATAACAGTGTAAAAAGTTGCACACTCAATTGGCAAATGTGATCAGAATTTAGCAAGCTCCTCTACAGCTGTAAGAAAAGTGAGGTAGAACCGAAAAAGTGAGGTTAAGCCAAAAAAGTGGGGTTAACCCGAAAAAGTGAGGTTAAGCCGAAAAAGTGAGGTTAGTTGCTTTATTTAAACAGAATGCATGAATGGGATATTCATTTGTAAGCTACGATTTAATAAATTTTGTATTTATCAGATACATTTAAATAATAGCAAGCTCCGATAAAGTTGTAAGAAGAGTAAGGTTAAGCCAAGAAAGTGAGGTTAATCCGAAAAAGTGAGGTTAGTTGCTTTATTTAAACAGAATGCATGAATGGGATATTCATTTGTAAGCTACGATTTAATAAATTTTTTGTATTTATCAGATACATTTAAATAATAGCAAGCTCCGATAAAGTTGTAAGAAAAGTGAGGTCGAACCGAAAAAGTGAGGTTAAGCTGAAAAAGTGAGGTTAAGCCAAAAAAGTGAGGTTAATCCGAAAAAGTGAGGTTAATCCGAAAAAGTGAGGTTAGTTGTTTTATTTAAATAAAACAATGACTGGGATATTAATTTGTAAGCTTCGATTTAATTCTGTATTTATCAGATACATTTAAATAATAGTTACAAGTTAAGTGATTGAGCTTAAATGTTATATTCATGAAATAATAATTTGATCAAATTCGCCGTTGGATTTATATTTGACTTTTTGTTATACTTTTAAGCTTCTTATTGTACAACAATTATAACGATTTATTGCCTAGTAAGTCGCAAAATTAATAAATTGTATTTTCAAAAAATAAAACAACAATAAAAGCGCATGTTATAAAACGATTAAGGATTACGGAAAAAGTACATTAAATGCTTACGTATGTCAGCCAATTAGGTCAGCTATAATACTAAACAAGCAAGGGACTAGGTGCCGGAAATGCTCGACTATGCAATACCCTGGACTGACTGACTGCCAGACTAATTAGTGAGATTGGAAGCTGAAACTTTTAATGGGGGTTGATTGAAGCATGCAAAGATCTTTCATTTAAAAGGATCTTTCAGGCAATTTATTTAAGACGTGTTTCTCACTTTTCCCAAAATCTATCCGATCTTGGTGAGAAATGTGGGTAAGGCAAGGACTTAAACTTAACTTTGGATTTTAGATAAATAATTGAATTATATTTGAAAAATGTATGTCTATAATTCGAAGTAAGCAGCTTGGACTTTCTGGACAAGGCCGCCAGCTATAATATATAAATTGGCGAAAATTCGCGAAAAATTTGTTGCTGCACAGGAAGACAACATGCCGGAATAGCCGTGGTCACCCCATTGCCCTTAGTACCGACACGAGGGGTACTCTAATGCACAGCAAAGGGTATCCAGAGGGTGGTCAGAAGCAAACCCTGGCCAAGTCCACAGCTCGAGCGGGCAGAAAGGAAGGCGAACTGCAAAGCGCTGTCGATGTCGACACTTTGGCGTGTTGCAAGGACAATTGAAGTGCACACACGGTGAAGCACTCAGTTAAATTGTCCAACCGACTGACTGACGGGTGTGTGTGCCCCAACAGCAACACCTCAGCCACGAGACAAACTCGCACACACGGTGCAAAGTGCTTGCCCTGGCAGTGCATTGATAATAAACGAGTGCAAGGATAACGAGGAGCACAGCACGGAAGTATGCGCAAAATGGCGCAACAGCAAAAGCGCCAAGGACATTGAAATATTGAAATACAACAATTGGTTTAGGATTTGCCTTGAGGCAGCCGGAATAGAGCTTTAAAAGCACGACGACCGAGAACTCTGAGACTTGAGACCGAAAACTGAAAGACATTGTGGTCTCGCTGTCAGCGGCAAGTGCAAATCCTTTTCGTGCAAACAATGTGGCCCGTTCCGGCACTTGCTCCTTCGTCAATCAAGGCCGGCTGCGCCATCGAGTGGGACACGTTCTGCGCAAGTTTCCTGCTGAGTTTCAGAGTTCACCACAAACAAGGCGACACATGACACGTACTCAACTCGACTGTGGACCCATCGCAGCGCGTCCTGACTCGTCGCGTCCTGGTTGTTGCCTCGTTCAGGACTCGGGATTATTTTTAGTTTTCGGCAGAGTTTTAAAGTTTAAAGCTCTCTTCTGTGGCACATTTGCATATTAAGTGTCATGCGTTGAACGTTTGCAACTGACAACGCAAACAACTAACAACAAGTAAGAGAGAACTAGGCGGGTATGCTCGACTAGCTGATACCCTGCGACGAGTCACAAGCATACATTACATACACACATCCATTCTTAAAGAGTTTCGGTATTCTTAGTACGATCCTTATCAGGGATTATAAATGGCAGCCAAATGTGTGTATCTATAATAGATAGAGATAGACTCTTGGGAATGAGGAAAGGTATACAAATAGTGGAATATTTGTTTTCTATAATTAACTTTGCCATTTTTGAGCTCAGCTCTAAAATCAAGTCTTGAAGAAATCTGAAAATCCTAAATATTGAGGGAAAAAACTTAAAAGCTATCGCTATCTCTATCTCTATCTCTATCTCTATCTCTATCTCTATCTCTATCTCTATCTCTATCTCTATCTCTATCTCTATCTCTATCTCTATCTCTATCTCTATCTCTATCTCTATCTCTATCTCTATCTCTATCTCTATCTCTATCTCTATCTCTATCTCTATCTCTATCTCTATCTCTATCTCTATCTCTATCTCTATCTCTATCTCTATCTCTATCTCTATCTCTATCTCTATCTCTATCTCTATCTCTATCTCTATCTCTATCTCTATCTCTATCTCTATCTCTATCTCTATCTCTATCTCTATCTCTATCTCTATCTCTATCTCTATCTCTATCTCTATCTCTATCTCTATCTCTATCTCTATCTCTATCTCTATCTCTATCTCTATCTCTATCTCTATCTCTATCTCTATCTCTATCTCTATCTCTATCTCTATCTCTATCTCTATCTCTATCTCTATCTCTATCTCTATCTTATCTCTATCTCTATCTCTATCTCTATCTCTATCTCTATCTCTATCTCTATCTCTATCTCTATCTCTATCTCTATCTCTATCTCTATCTCTATCTCTATCTCTATCTCTATCTCTATCTCTAGATTCCAGGGTCAACAGACGGAAAGACGAACATGGCTACTTCTATTCAGCTAGTCGTACTTCCTGCTGCCCGTCACATGCAAAACCAAGATACCCTTTCAGCCACTCACAATGAGTTGAGGGTATAAAAAAAAGAGAAGGTGGAGGAGCACAGGTGAGTGGCAGCAAGTGGAGTGTGCCGTAGTTGGGCGCCGTATTTTTGAATCTAAGGGCATCCGCAGGTGTTGTTGCTGTTGTTAGTTTGCGTAGGCTTATTGTTGAGCCCCCCGAAACCGTTATGCCGAGTTGCAAAATATCAAGAATCAGTCCCTGCCACATGCACCGAGTGCGGATTAAAGCTCTATATCTGTGTGTGTGTGTGTGCGTAGGATTTTGCGGCCCAGCTCAAAATAAGTGTTAAGACTTTAAAAGCTTGTCGAGCTATAAAGTCAAATTAGCATGGAAAGCATTTCTGATTTAAATTTATATTGGAAGGAACTTTCGCAAACACATTTTAACATTTCACGCATCTCTTACATAGACTACAAATATCACTTGGAAATCAATATTAAAATTCTCTCCAAAACCAGCTATAACCGAGAGGAATGTGCAGTTCCGACTGTCAGTTTACGTAAGACTTAAAGCTAAGTATAATAAACTAAGCGCTCTAAATAAATGATTACATTCAAATGGAAGAGTATATATTAAATCTTATATATGTACATTAGAGCATGAGACATTGCCCTTCATTGGCCATTCATAAACTGGTCCACCTGCACGCTGATGGTCTTCAGGATCATCTCTGCTGGATTGGAGCAGCCGTTGATGACGCCATCCACACAAGCTCGAACCGAAATGCGATAGTACTGATCGGGCTGAAGGTTGGTCAACTTATACGAATTCTGTGTACCAGGTACAATGGCACCCTTTGGCTCTTCCGCGACGACACATTTCTGTTCCAGCTGGTAGCTCACCGAGGCATGGGCATCGTTGCATTTGGGCAGCGGATGGCTGATTAGAAAGTCTTCTATGCCCGTATCCTGCACCTGACGCGCCCGTTCTTCCATGAACTGGCGATAGAGTTCATAATTTTTGGATGCCTCTTCAGCTATTGCCGAAAAATTGCTCGCCAGCGAGCTGTTGTCGGCCAAGGCAGTTTCTGGAGCTATTGTGCTGGTACTTTCCACAGCTGCTGCTGGCTGGGGACCAGCTATAAGATCCTCAAAGTCCTTGACCTTGTTAAACTTTTCCTTCTTCATTTTCATTTTGCGTCTGTAAATCGAACACAGGCATCACACAAACTGATGAGACGATATCAAGTAAGGATTGCTTACGAAACATAGATGAGATTGGGCAGAGCATCCTCGTATGTTATCTGCTCCTTGTTGTAGTAGCTCTCATCCTCAGGCTGTGGTCCAGAATCGTACGGCACCAGATCATTGCAGACGCAGTCCAAATCGCAGCTGTTGCACGCCTTGAACGTGGAATAGTTCTTGTTGCTGGCCTCCGGCTCGGTCAGATTGTGCGGCTCAATGCTAACAAAATACTTGGATATAACACCATTGGGACGACGCGGTGGCCACCAGTAAACCATCTGAAACAGCAGCGAATAGCTGAGCACATTAAACCAATAATAGATGTACAAGCTAAGCTACTCACAATCTGTGTGCTATGCTCCGAGCTGCCATGGAGGCGACTCACAGGACTCGGCTTGCTGGCCAGCGTATGAAAGTACAGAATCTTGGAGTATGCATCCACCTGCATGTGGTAATCGGTGCGTGTGAGGGTCTTAACAAAATATGCATATCGTGTATAGGGCTTAAGGTTGGAGATCACGTGACGGCGATTCCTGCTTGGCGAGACGTCCATAAGCCAGCTAAAGAAATGACTATAAATAGAGATCACTTTGAATAGTTGGTTCTGCTCTCTTACTCATCATGTCCGCAGCCGTGGCGACCATCGTACATGGTGATATTGCCCTGCGGCGCTTCCATATAGTGATACGAGTAGCCGATCAATGTTTCCATATCCTCACATTTCATAAAGTCAACCGCAATGCGAACCGCCGTAGAATTAATATCCTCAACCTGTGCGTCCAGAGTGCGCACCGCATCCCCGCATATGACACGCTCACCATTCGAGTTGGGCGACACATCCGCTATGGATATCTTGCGAACACTCTTCAATGAGGGCTGCAGCTTAAGGATTTTCTCATAGCATAGCCGTGGATTCAAATGAAAGAATATGGTGCCACGTTGTATGGCCACCTGACGATTTGCTGGCCAAATGTGCTCCATGTAGTAATTGTTCACAACGGACAGGGCGTATCTGAAAGGGGCAGTTGTGTTATTTAATGACTTCCAATATATATTATCAGTCTTTCAATATAGAATGAATAGAGTTCTTCCCCCAGATGAAACCCTATAGAATGAATAGAGTTCTTCCCCCAGATGATACCCTATAGAATGAATAAAGTTCTTCCCCCCAGATAAAACCCTTAAAATTAGCCTAATGTGGATCTCTGTAAATGCAACATGCTATAGACTAGCATGAGATATGTATATAATCTATACTCTGAGAACTTCACAAGTAGAAATTCACACTGAAAAAAAATATATATATAATATGAATGACAGCCATCAATTTAACCAATTGGCTTAATTTCCCATTTCCAAGAGAATTCCATTAATATATGTAACGAAAATGTTCAAATACCTTTTAATATTAGAAAATTCCACTTTCGAATTTGTCATCAATTAAACTCATCAACCTAGTGTTTCAATTAACAATAGGTGCGCTTTAGTCAAGGGTATCCGGCTAGGAAATACCCTGTAGCTCGCTGAACTTCTTTCTATACATGCATATAGACGCCTGTGTTTGTATAGTATTTGTAAAGTTCTCAGACTATATTCAGTTTTTTCCAATTTTGGAGGTTACGGAAAATAATATCTAT